CTTTCGGTTTTCTACTGGGTAGACAAATGCTACATGTTAACTGGGTCTTGAAGGTAGAAGTCATTGTCTCCCTTAATTTATTTGATCAGGGTCATAATTTATCTTATGGGGCTGGGAATGTGGCTTAGTGGTAGAATGCTTGCCTAGCATGCATGAAGCCCTGGGTTCAATTCCTCAGTACCACATAAAGAGAAAAGGCCAGAAGTAGCACTATGGCTCATGTAGTAGAGTGCTAGCCTTGACTCAAGGATGGGGCCGACGCCCTGAGTTCAATCTCCAGGACCAGCAAAGCAAAAGAAAAAGGAAAGAAAAAAACACCTTGCCAATCCTTCTTTTATTTAGTGAAATAATATGTTCCCTCCCAACCCCATGAAATATCTTTGTCTGCCAGAGATACTTTCTCAACTCCTCTAGTAGCATGGCTGGTGTCTATATTTCCTATCAGGAACTGGTGTGCATATGTGTATCTATTTGGGGCTTTAGTTTAGTATGGGTTATTTTGGTATATACTTTTTATTGTAAGGTGATGTACAGAGGAGTTTCCATTTTATAACTCAGGTAGTGAGTACATTTCTTGTAGGGCAGTATCACCCCCTTTCCTTTCTCTTCCAGTTTTTCCTTCTCATTCTTTCCCACAAGTTGTATAGTTCATTCTCGAGTGTCTACTGCTGTATTTGTTCAATCTTTGTCCCTCCATTTCCGTGTCACCCTTTATCACCCCCAAAGATAGATAAACAAGCACACAAGAGAGGGGGGAACAGGAACAAGCAAAAAAAAACAACCAAAAAGCAAAAACAGACAATGCCATCTTCACCAACAACAGCTGTAAAGTAACAAAAACAAGCAAACAAAAAGCCTTGTTTCCATTTCCTGTAATTCACTTTGATAAATACTGTTTTATATGTTCAGAGGCACAGAGACATTGTGCTGTTAGGTTCCTCCCTTAAGTAGGATGGTTTTAAAAATAATAGTGTTATTAGAGGGGTCTTTGGTTCAGTCCAAAGAAGGACTCAATCCACTGGGATAATCATTTGTGTAGAAATTTGCTGGAGTTTAGGACTTCCAGATCTCTTCTTTCCTCATTTATACTTGGCATGTTCTGAAAAGAAAACTCATCTATTTTGTGATTTATATTGTGAGGAAGAATTTTTTCTTGGTCATGCTGTAGTCCGTGGTGTTTGCTGCTGACTTGGGGAGAAGTGAGTTCTGTAGATGTAATTCTTCAGGTTTTCCCACTGAGTTCCAGGACAGTGTAGTAGCATGTACTTCTCAGCTCTTAGCTTCTCAGATTTTCCCTCCCCTGAAGCACCAGATATCTTCTGAGTACTAAGACATAAGACACAGTCTATCTTGTGGTCCAACTAATGAAGTCATAATATTGTTTGCAGACAGTGCTAGAGATGGAGTCACAGTGAGTGTGAATCAGGCCTTGATTTCTTACTCAAGATAATTTTGAGAGGTGTGAAGTCAAGGAAAACACACAGTTGTCAGTCATTGTCCCCACAAGGACAAAAAAAAGTCCTGGGCACTGTTGGCCAAGGCAGGGCCCAGTTGATACCCGGAAACATGCCAGTCCTTCACTCTATGTCCCTCACTTGCTTCAGTAATGAATAACCTCATTCAGAAAACCCTGCCTGTCATTTGCCCACCTTTCAAAGTTTATCTTGGTTTGTTTTTGTTTTGATTTGCCAGTCTTGTTTGTGTTAGCCAGGTTTTGAGAAATAAGAAAAAGTGAACTTTTCTGACATCATCAATATTATTATTATCTTTGTAAAAAAAATTCCTATTAATAAGAGATAGGGCCCATTTGTGAGGTCTTATGTTTGGAAATAAGAAGAAGTCTTACATTCAGAGGAAATAAGCAGGGAAGTGGCCATTTAATAATTCCAGAAAAACGTTGAGAGACACTCAGGTATAAGTAGTTACACTGGGAATCTGGACTTTTGCATGTTTTAAAATATTAAAAATAGTCAAGCACCAATAGCTCACACTGTGAGGCTGAGATCTGAGGATTGCAGTTTATAGCCAGCCTTAGCAGGAAAATCCATCAGACTCAGCTCCAATTAGTCACCAAAAAACTGGAAATGAAAGTGTGGCTCAAATGGTAGAGTGCCAGCCTTAAATGGTCACCCAAGAGTGCAAAGGCCTTAAGTTCAAGCCCTTTCACAGGCACACCCAATAAAACATTGGGAACAAAAGATTTACATGAACACATATGGAGACTAGATGTCCCAGGGAAACTGTTAGCAGGGGTGAAGGAGGAAGTATGCTGGATGCGGTCAGATCTGCGTACCCAGGCTACAACTTTGTGCTAAAGTAGAAATGTGATTTTGAGGAAGTAGTTTGCTTGATGACTTCTCAGTTTCCAAGTCACCTGAAGAAAAGACCCCTGACTTTGTCAGCTATAACGAGAAGTTTTTTAAAAGTCCTGATGAGAGCAGGACACCCAACAGAGTTCAAACAGTGCACTTAATAAATTGTACTCTTCTTTACATTGATTATTACTATTTGAACTCCAGGGCATTCTTCTGAGTGCTCGTAACTTTGTGTAAAACTCACTTGGATACATATAGTGAAATTAGAAACTGCAAAAGAAAACTCACCAAGGTGGTAGAGGAATTGAAAGGCAGACCTGAAAAAAGGTCTGAAAGAACCGATTATTTATCGTAGGACGTGAAGACTGGTGAGTGGCTGAATGACTGTCCTGAAGGCGTCTGGGGCATCGTTATGTGGGAAATTATACCCAGCTGTTCTCCATTTCCACTGAAGTTGACAGATCCAGGGCAGACGGGACAGGCCAGAGCCAAAGAACAAAAGAGAAAGCAGTAGACATGTCAAGATATAAATCAGCAACAAATGTAGAAAGAACAAGGGGGCTGCAGCCTCAGGCCAGTGCCAGGGAAATTCATGTCAGCCTTCCCCATGAAATCGGTGTCCCCGTGTGTACCTTCTCCCTCATTGATCCTACCACTCCTCTTCTCAAGCCCTGGATACCACCTTGCTCTTGGGTTATGTTCAGGGCTGCCTTACACAGAGCAGTCACAGTTCATGCCCTACACTTTGCTTAGAGCAGTGGTTCTCAGCTGGGGGCAATCTTGCCTCCTCTGAGTACATTAGTCTGCAAGCATTTTCAGTTGTCATGACTGGGGAGAAGGGAATGCTAGAAGCATCTGATGAGTGGAAGCCACAGATGCTGACAAACACTGTACAATGCCGAGGATCATCCTTACAACGGAGAATTGCTCTCAAATGTCAATCATACAACTATGAAGTCATCCTATGCTAGGGGAATAGAATATCCTAGCATGGGCTCCTTAAGACTTACTAGTTTATGCCAAAGCATTTGCGTGGAACTGAATGGTTTAGAAGACTGCTAAACATTTGCTATTCTAAGAAAATGTGTGGATTACATTATAATCATGTGTTTCTTAGCTGTCTGCTATACTTCGGGTTTAAAAATATTTATATTTCTAAATAAGCAACTGACTCTTTGTATAGGGAAAATAACATATGCATTAGAGCTCCAGGAAGTATTACATAGATACCACCTTCTAAGCACCCTCTTTCCAGCATTTTGCTGGCCAGTGAAGTGCACACATTCAAGAGCTCCCAAGGCAGTGTCTGATCTGCAGTTAGAATATTGTGGTAGAGACCAAAGCATGGTGATGGGTAAGGAAAATTCACCAGGATCTGAACACAGGCCAACAACAAAGGGAAGACTGGAGGATCCAGTGTGATAAAGACTGAAACTCTTAAGAATGTTTCTGCTCAGTGACTCTGAGAAAAAAAAAAAAAATCATGCTTTCTTGATTTAATAATACATTGCTCTTTCTAAATAATCTAAGTGTATGTTGTGTGCTGTGCGTCCATTTGTAAACTTTCAGTCTTCTGAAATCCAGACACAGCATGAAAGCACACATGCTATATTTGATTCTTGCATAAATAGCACAGATTTTAATTTTATCCTGGTTATGGATATCTGGCGTGTGCGCCGATACTCTGGGCAGACTGGTGTGAAATTTAATTTGAGCAGTTAAAACACAAGGGTGAGAGAGTGCAAAGTAAACAAGCACACGCATTTCCAACCCTAACAGCATTTAGTGTGTTAGCAGGCAAGACACCCAAATCCTCTCTCTCTCCCTTTTTTTCTTTTCCTTTTTTTTTTCTATTGTGCCAATCAGATTACAGATTGTCTGGAGAGAGACAAATCCTCTGTGTCTCCTGTGGCAACCCTACTTCCCCCTCAAGTTGCCTGTAGCCATTTTCTTAGTGGGTTCTTCAGAGTTGGGATTTGGCCTTGGAGTGAAAGGAAGAAAAGTTTTCTTGGTTTTCATACCTTTACTACTAGATTAGAGATAGACTTGCGTTCTGGACAGGGGCGGAATCTTCTCTGCAAAGGGGAAATGGGAAATCATGGCAATAATATATTTATAGCGACACTGACTCTGGTTGACATCTCAGCTTTGCTGATGACATGAGCTGTGAGTGTTGGGGAATAACTGAAACTCTGCTTCTTGCTGAATTTATTCTAAAAATCGGGGTAACTGCAGTGTTGGAGAGGTATTGGAAAGAAGGTGCTAAAACAGAAGTGGTACATAGGCACCTCATTAGTAGTACCCGAGACATTTCTACCCTCAGCTGTCTAGGAAGAAGGCCAATGCTGATGGTTACTGTCACTAATCTAGATTTTTAAAAAAATGGTGGCCATATCCATACCCACCCCTACCTGAATCAGGACTTGGCACTTTTCAGTGTGCCCTACCTCTAGGTATAGGTTATTCTGGAGAAGCAAGTACAGAAGAAGCTGGTGCTAGTGGAATGTGTGGTTTGGGTGACTAGGAGGAGGGCACTGTGTGTGACATTCATGGATCCAGACCCAAGAGAGGTAGCAAAAGGGAATGGGTCAGTTTTCTTCTTCTATTCAAAAAAAGGGGTGAGGGGGAAACATGTGCCTACCATCAGTAAAAACACACAACTTTCCATTCAATTTGTTTCCACAGAAGAGCGAGTTGTCCCCATTGAAGTATGCCGGTCCAAACTGTCAAAATACTTGCAGGGAGTAGTGTTCCGCTGTGATAAGTGCACTTTCACCTGCTCCAGCGACGAGAGCCTGCAGCAGCACATCGAGAAGCACAATGAGCTGAAACCTTACAAATGCCAGCTCTGCTACTATGAGAGCAAGCACACCGAGGAGCTGGATGGGCACCTTCGGGATGAGCATAAGGTACTTGCCCAACACTTCCTTGCTTGCCTGCCTGTGGAGCACTCCTGTGGGGAGAGGGGCCAAGCCAGGAGTCAGGTGAATTTAATCCCACTAACTCTGCACAAGACAAGAGACAGGAACTGAGATAAGCTTAAAGTGCAAGTTTGATTTGTCTATTGTGATAGAACTAGGAAGCCATGGCCTGGGAAGGTGGCTCAGTGGTAGAGCGCTTGCCTTGCATGCATGAGGCCCTGGGTTCAATTCCTCAGCACCACATAAGCAAAAAGAAAAAAACCAGAAGTGGTGCTGTGGCTCAAGTGGTAGAGCGCTAGCCTTGAGCTGAAGAGCTGAGGGACAGCGCCCAAGCCCAGAGTTCAGGCCCCAGGACCGGACTCCCCCCAAAAAAGAAATAGGAAGTCATTTTTGAACATGGCAAAGCATAGATGATGGAAATCAGACCCTCCTCCCCCATAATGTATTTCTTTTTTTGTCTGACAAGAGTATATTTTCATCTTTTTTTTTTCTTGGTCAGGGCCTGTGCTCTGTTGCTGAGCTCTTTTGCTCAAGGCTGCTATGCTGCCCCTCTGAGCCATAGCGCCACTGCCTTCATCTTACTTTAAATGTGTTATCACAGGGTTGGCAGAACTTCTGTAAAGAGCCAGAGAGTAAACATTTTAGACTTTACAGGGCTACATATGACTTCAGTGAAGACAAATGCTCAAGTCTGCTGTTATAGCAAGAAAGCAGATTATCGGTGATACATAGATAAGCAAGCACAACTGTTTGCTAATAAAACTTTATTTATTAAAAAAAAAAGGTGAGCCATTGTTGCTAACTCCCATTGTATCTGATTGATATACCACCATGTCCTCCAATCTTGTGGGTTGTTTCCAATATTTTTCTAACTACTGTATGTATCTGAATTTTTTTTTTTTTTTTTTGTCGGTCGTGGGGCTTGAACTCTGGGCCTGGGCGCTGTCCCTCAGCTCAAGGCCAGCGCTCTACCACTTGAGCTACAGCGCCACTTCCGGTTTTCTGGTGGTTTATTGGAGATAAGAGTCTCACGGTCTCTCCTGCCCGGGCTGGCTTTGAACCGCGATCCTCAGATCTCAGCCTCCTGAGTAGCTAGGATTACAGGCATGAGCCACCAGCGCCCGGCTTGTATCTGAATATTTTAAGCATCATAAAACATGTGCTTGACATTGGGAAGAGAATTAATTTTTAATACAAGACATAAAACTTCTTTCCAAGTGTTTGCCGATCAGGGGATTCAATCAGAATGGCTTTCTCACCTCACAGGGTTTATTTGGCCCAGGGTGAACTTAGATGATGATTTGTATATTGCCTGAGTAGAGGAAGAGTTCATCAATAGCTAAAACATGTAGTGTCTTCTCTTAAGATCCAACAAGAAACACTTTTGATATTGTTTCCTTTTTTCTTAAACTGTCTTGTCAGTAGCAGAAGGCTTTGCTGATCTTCCAAATGCAAGTTACAAGAGTTTGGTGTCAGGCATGTATCTAATGGGGTGTTGAGAAAAGGGGTTGAGCTTTTTCTCCTGTCTACAATGGCCCAGCTTTATGGTAACTTTTTTGCTTTAGACTGCATTTACTCTCTAATGTCTATCCAAAAAAAAAAAAAAGTGAAAGCAAGAGGAGAGGTATTACTTCAGTTAGAAATTTTAATATTCATTCTTATTCAAACTTCCTGAGCATTTCTAACCCAAACTCAAGGGCAAATCATTTACCTTCCAAACTAGGACTTTTGGGTTTGTTTGCATGTATCTTACTTATGCAACCATCTTTTTATTGTAGTGTTAAAGCTGTCAGGCTGGCATTTGGGGGCAGCAAATGGCCTGTTAGCTGGTGAGGAAATCTAGTGAATATTAGAAATCATACCAGATATGGCACCAAAGGCTTCCTGAGCAGTGGGAAGAAGGCCGAGACTTAGAAATACAGATCAGGGAAACGAGTTATCCAGAAAAGTAGAGGTTCCATTTAGAGCTTTTGGAACCAGAAGACCTGAGTTTAAAGACCTGTCTGCATTTATTGGTTGTGCTTTGAGAAGCACATCTTACTTGTATCTGTACACCTGCCCTCTGATTTTTAAGTGGGAATTCTTAAACAGTCTCAGAAACTCTACAAGATCAAGTGTAGTGCTTGCATTTCCCCTGCTTTGACAGGGGGAATTCTGTTCCACAGAATATTTGTTAATTAAATTGTGCTCAAATACAATGGAAGATGTGTCTGTCATAAAGCCAGTTATATTCTCAAAGACCTGAGATATGTTATGAAATCACTAATTATGCCTTGCATTGTAGACAGTCTTTGATGTTATATTTGCACTAAGTCATATTATGTCCTTATAATTTTACTCTTTCTCATGGTTGACCAGCTGATTAAGCCCAACAAGGAGCTAATTGAGGCTAAAGAATTGCCACTTTCAGCACGCCTAATGATTTTCCTCTTTGTCTCAATTGTTGTTAAGTTAATGAGACTCCAGCTTATTACTGACAGCAGTACTTTTCTCATTTTCCATTCTTTTTCCTAAATGATGAGTACAAAATTCAAGTTTTGAAATAACTGTCCAAATACTATTTTGTAAATAGAGATGGCAGCAATATTGAAACTGAATTTTTCTAGGCAAGTGGTTACTGTTTGCTAGCTAAAAATAATAATTTATTAAGATGGAAGCTATTCAAATCTCTTCATGAAGGATAGATAACTGATATGGTACTAAAGAAATTTGCTGATGATTCAGATATGAAAGTTTGGGACTTAAAGGCAAAAACAAGAAATTAAAGTCACGGAAACTGAGAAAGAAGAAATGTAAGTAGTTTTATTTACAGACAGTGTGATCTTTGTTAATTAGAAAATCCACAATAAAAATCGACTTGGATATTAGTGAACTTAATGAGTTGACAGGCTATAAATTCAATATATAAAATCATTTATACTATTATATATCTATAGTAATAGAGAACCTGAATCTCATCAAATAGAATAAAATACTTAAGAATGAATTCAACCTAAAGCCCACAAGAACTAAACACTGAAAAATGCAAAGTGTTAGGAAATTATTGTAATATATACCATGTCATGGATTAGAAAATTCAATATTGGTAATTATTCCCAAATTGATCTATAAATCTGACATGGAAACACTCAGAAAGGTGGAAATTGACAAAATAATTCTAAAATGTACACAGAAATGTAAACAATCTAGAATAAACAGTGTGGGAAAATAACAGTCAGCGTACCTACCCTTCTTGCTTTCAAAACTTACTGTAAATCAAGTTCTTAAGAGAGGATATTTCTGGTGAACACATAGATTAATGGAACAGAAAGTCCAGGAATAGACTGTCACATGTAGTCTACAGCCATACACCTGAACTCGCCCAGTCTCACCTGATCTCAGAAGACTGTCACATGTGTGGTCAATTGATGCTTAGGTTATTATTTTCTTTTAAATGGAGGCTGAAAGAATTAGATTTACACAAACTCTACACAAAAATTCAGTCAAAATCAATCATACACACATGAGCTAAAATGATTTTTTTTAACTTCTAGAAGAATAGTAATAAGAAAAAAAAGCTGTGGACATTTAAAGCCATCAGTAAATTGAGTTTCATCTGAATTAAACTTTTGATCTAGGAAGACACCATTATGAAAATAAAAAGATGTCAACAGACTGGAAGCAAATATTTGTATAAGAAAGGACTTTATCTATAATGAACTCTTAAAGTCAGTAACAAGAAGATAAGCAACTCAATTCAAAATGAGCAAAAGACTTATACAGACATTTTGCAATAGAAGATATACTGGTGACCATAATATACTGAGATCTATTATACCATAATGGGTACACGTTCATTGAAAGATTTTCAATGTCATTTACTGCTAGAGCAATGAGAATTAAGGCCGGCAGTCAGAATGGGAAATTTAAGAGTGACAGTAATACCAGAGACATGGGGACAAGGTACGCTCATACATGGCTGGTGGGAATGGAAAATGACTTTGGAGTAACTTTACAATTGTTTAAAAGTTCAACATACAATCACCATCTGACCCAACAACCCAATTCTGAAAGTACATGGCTAAACAAAGCATGGTATATATCCATCTAATGGAAAACTACTCAATAAGAAAGAACGAGCTATCAGTATTTAACAACATGGGTGAATCTCAGGTTATGTAGTGTGAGACTAAAGACTGCATAGGGTTTAATTCTGTTTACATGAAATTTCAAGAATAGATAAAATTATAGGAAAGCAAAGCATCTCAGAGGTTGCCTAGGGCTGAAGATAGAGTGTGGGGATTTGAAGGAACTCCCCAAAGGGACAAAAGTGTACTTAAAATTGGATGAGGCTTAGATGATTAGACAAAATGCATGAAGTAAAAGTAATTGGATTCATTTAAAATAGATGTTTTATGGTAAGTTAAGTTATAACTTAACACCCTGACCTCAAACCTATAGTTAAATCTTTGATGTGCATGTTCATTTCTGCCTTCTTTGATTGTAAAGCTAAATCCTTGGAACAAATAGATCAATAAGATACTCAAGATCCAGATTAACATAAGAACTACTAAAAATAAGATATAAACATAGTAGTTCTAAGTCAGTGTCTACTCACTTGCCTTTTCAGTAAAATTTATGCTTTGAGTGCATTGCTCATTATGAATAGGATTAGCTGATTTGAAGCTGTTTGTTATCTAAACTAATAAATGAACTCATTGCTTCTCCAAAGTGATTTGGAGCTATGGAGAGAACCAAAAGAAGTATCTATAAGATATTATTGTATGTATTTTGTTTTCAGCCAAAAGATTTCACTAGAAAGAGCTGAACATTCAAACTGGACATTGAATTCTGCCTGTCAAGGTTATAAAGCTCAGGAACATCTCCAAAGGTGTCAGACTACATCGTTCATTCATGGGTTGGATGAGTTCTGGTAACAGCAGGAAGGGTCCTTGAAGTCAGATATATCATTCCGTTTAAGAACCAAAATGTCAAGTGCACTTGATGTA